TTACATATTAATGTAACTCTAAATTATCCAGTTCTTCCAACATAGCATAGAGATAAAACCAGGATATGAAAAAAAGAAATTCGCTTAACCAAGTGCAGATTGTGAATACAAAAGATAAGATTATGTCAAGAATAATATGTGATGATTTAACAAAACCATGGTGAAGTAAGTTCAGGATTCTAAGTGTTTAGACATAGGTTTGAATTTCAGCTTCAGTATGGACAAGATTAAGATTTCAGGCATTTAATGCCCCTGAGCTTTAATTTCTTTATAAATTGAAATGCTTTTAGTTAATATCAAGACATGTGTAGCTGGAACAAATGCTAGAGATCACCTGGACCAAACTCCTGATGTTAATGATGAAGGAACTTTGTCTCAAAGCATGTAAATGATTTACACAGTGCTTCTTACTAACAGCGTTAAATTAAAAAGCAATCTACCTTCCATTCACTACCTCTAACCGGCTTCCATTTCTGTTTACCAAAATGACTGTCAAGCATCTACTCCCCCGCCCCCAGTCTCCAACTTGTTCCATCTCTTCTTCCCCTTCTGACCTCACAGTTGTCAGAGAAAGCTTCCTGACTTGGAACTCTGGGCCCAGATTCTCTTTCCAACTTCCCTGCTAGCCCTCTGCTCAACAGATCCTGTGTTCCAGCCAAAACAAACTTCTTGTCATTCCCAAAAAGACTCTGCCTTTTCCCATTCCATTATGTTTCCACTAGTCTTTCCTTGCCACAGTATCCTTCCTCCCAGGCTATCAGATCCACTCATTTCCGTGGAGACACCTTCATTGATTCCCCCAAGGAGAGTTCATCAATACCTCTTCTGTTCTCCCTCAACAATCTGTTCGTAATGGAAGTCACAGTTTGCTTTGCTCTTGACATATCTGTTTTGCTCCTTAGAGCGTGATGTTCCTTAAAGCTCAGGATCAAATCTTATTTCGTCTGTTTACCACAGTGTCAGCACTTCCACAGTGTCTGGCAGATTGGAGGCACACAATAATTGTTTTAGGAATAAACACATCTGGGTCTCTGGGCCCCTAACCCATCTGGGCTCTGTGTGTTTGGTATCCCTTAGTATATCAAGAGACAAGGATAGAGATTGTATAAAATGGGTCATTGTAATGGTTGGCCTAACAGTTCCAATTAATGTAGGCTCTGCTGAAGTCTAAAATTAAAACCCCTATTATTGGGGATTACTGGATAGGTTGCCAGAAAGGCAAAGGACTCCTCAAGAATCAGACCCACAGAACAAATATGCATGTGTGTATGTGTGTGTGTGTATGTGTGTGTGTGGGTGTGCATGTGTGTGTGTGTATGTAGGTAATACTTATGACTAAAACATGTACCACACCAGATTAATTCTTCCATCACTAGTGTCTCTTCAATAAGAATTGTGTGGACAGATGGGTAGATATCTGAAACCTAGTTAAACTCTCTTTTATGCTCTTCCCTTGAGCTCCATGCTTGCCCTTACCAAGGGTTAAGATCTATAGAAAGAGAAGTTGCTATTATTTAACTCCTATATAAGGTGTTCTTCCTTAATTTCAGCTGCTGTTGCTGCAGCTGTGATGGTATCTACCTGTATCAGCATTGGTGTTGCCTCTGGCTCCCTCCCTCAGCATATTTGCACTGCATGCAAGAAACAATTTCTCAGTCAAGACAAGAAATCCTGATTCCTGTGATTTGTCCACCTTAGGACATTTGTGTCTGACTGGTTCATTTTCACCACCCAGTACTGCCCACTGGGATTTTCAAGGTCACACTATCTTCTGAGCATCTGCTTCTCAAGGCAGCATGCTTTACCTGCTCCCGGTCCCCCATCCCAGCCCCAAGAAGTGCCCAGTAGGTCTTGGGTATTATTATGGCTTCAGAATTCTGTGATCAATCACAAGCTTTGCCATATTTACAGTCTTCTAAAAGATCATACCTGGTGAATGGTCACAGTGGCAATGACCTTCCTATCAAATCTCTGCTGGTCGCGCAGACCACCCTGAATACACTTCTGAGTTAGATACCATGTCTCAGTCTTGTATCCTGGCCAACACCATACCACAAAACCACTAGATAAATCTCTACAACCTTTATATTTTACTCAATCTTCCATTGCATTACTCGCCACACAGTGGTGATAAGATACTGACCCTGCATAAAACAAGCCTTATTTGATATGACAAAGATATCATTTATCTTCAGATCTACACTGAACAAGCAGATAAGCTTTTGTCAGCACTTTTAATTCATTTACTACTTACATGGTATGTATGTGATTCACATCTCTCCAGTATCTCTTGCTTCCAGGTCTAGATTCTATCTATCTATCTATCTATCTATCTATCTATCTATCTATCTATCTATCATCTATCTATCTACACACACATATATATGTATACATACACTTATATAATAGCATATGTATGTTAAGGCTGCGGGTGCTATTGTAATAGACAAGTTACAATCCTAAGACATCTTTTTTAAATGTATTTAAATTCCATTATCCTTCTGTGTTTCTGGGTGCCAGAGCAGTTTAGAAGAGTCTCTGCCATATATATATATATATATATATATATATATATATATATGCTATTGCCCCAATAATATCTTTACTCCTGCTCAGAATTTAAGAATTTAAGGAAGTATTCTATAAACTTCAAATAAGGTTTACATCATCACCAGAAAGCAGACATGAATGTGATATGCTGTATTCTTAACAATTTGATGCACATTCGTTTTAATTCATTGAAACGAACATCGTTCACAAAGAAATTCAGATGTTCATTATAAGCCTTGAGGCTGAAACTGTAACTGTTTGCCAAGATTTGAAATTGTGTGAGTGAAATGGAAAGGTTGCCAGTTTACATAATTATAGCTACAGAAATATATAGTGTGGCTGAGTAGTCAAGGAGTTTAATCAGTGTGGTTAAAGAAATAACAAGTGCTTCTGTTCATAATTTTGCCACATTTCCGTGGCAAAAGGCCAAATGCATTTAATCCAATTCAAGGATGACAAGGAGGGTTGATGGCCTCTAATGAGCAATTGATTAGCAGTAAACACAGAGATACTAAGAATCTAGTTTAATCTCTCTCTAGAACAGGAGGGTCATTTCCCTTTGCTGTGGCTCTTCATCCTGGCTTATTTATAAAGAGTAAGAAGGGAAAATGTAATTCTTGGATTTTATTACTTAAAGATAATGACCCCAAATTGTGATATAAACATAAATCTTGTTTTTAAAAAAATGTGTGCAGATATAACCTACAGTGTCTAGCAACTCCCTTAAGGCATGACCTAGGTTTTTGATCTAGAGATACTGAAATGATTGTGGGGGAGGGGCTTAAAAATGTATTGTGCTATATTATTATCTCAAAGACTGATTATTATGCAAAAGTGTGTTCCAATTTCAATTTGAAAAACTACTAATTTGTTCTCAACCACTGTAATTTGGCATCCCATGGGATGACATGTGGGGATACACAGGAAACTTTGGAAGGCTGTTGGTTTTGTGACATGATTAACCAAGGCTACTTGGCTGAGATTTCCACTGTCTAAAGCTACAGTAACATGGTGGCCACACTGTAACTTAGCTGGGAACTCATACTAAACAGAACACAATAAGGACCTGAGAACTTAGTAAGAGAAGAGAATACAGCTTGGTTGGATTTTTATGCAGCAAGATAGGAAAGGGTTAGAAGAATATGTTTCCATTGAGTATGCAGCATTGGTTATGTAGTTGCACTGCCTTGTACTGGCTGTCTGGAGCCTGCTGAGGTCCTGCTAGCATACAGCATATTAAAGATGTGGGAGCACTCTAAGGTATCTGACTGTAGATGACAATTCAACTCGATGAAGCAAATGTTTGCTGAGTTCCTACTATATAAGCTGGAGAGTATGGAAGTTGGGCATACAAAGATGATTGCTGTATAATAGAAACATTTATTATTTTAACTAATAAACAGTTGCCTTTTAAAATAATTAATATATTTTAAAACCTTTTCCTTTTGGTGTTACTAACTTACGGCTTACTAGAAACACGATCTTGCTCTTTGGGAATATAAATGGGCACATTGTTAGTAAATTTTCATAGAAAATTGTGGTCAAGCACAAGAAATGCTAATGTCCATTAATACTCAAATAGCATTTAAAGGGAAAGTTTATCATTATGAATCTGTCATGTCAAAAAGTTGTGGTTTATATTTTCTCTTTATGTTTCATATCTCAAGAGGCTTGTTGATGTCCTTTTCATGTAAATTGATCATTTTTCACCATTAGTGGGGTGGAATCATGTTCCTATTTGAGAATCTCTTAAAAGATTATATGACATCTATGAAAAGCTGTGACTTTTTACCAGAAAAATGCATATACTCAGGTACACAAAATTTATATATGACATATATTTTCTGCAGGTTGGTCAGCTTGAGAAATGCTACATTAAATGTTATGAGTAAGAATGCACAGATTTCAGAAGACACAACCTATGAAATTACAGCTCATTTTGGGAGTAAAAGATGACCTTTCATCAAATTATGAATTAAAATTTAGTTTTCTATCCAAATTTCTAATAAATTTGTACTCTGTTGCAGACATCTGGCTGCAGTTTGCCCCTGTAATAGAAAACAAATTATGAGGCCAGATTTTGATAAATTTAGCCTGAATTTCCATCAGAATTTTAGGACCTTCCTAAGCATGACCATATGGGAAAGTGATCAGAGACGTATATGCATTACAGCTTTGTTAAGGCTGCGGGCACTATTGTAACAGACAAGTTACAATCCTAAGACATCTTTTTAAATGTAATTAAATTCCATTATCCTTCTGTGTTTCTGGGTCCCAGAGCAGTTTAGAAGAGTCTCTGCCTTGAGTTTGCCTTTGGAACCTTTCCAGAGAGGAACAGGTGATACCATAAACATATCCCTGTTGCCATTTGGGGTAAGCAAGTGGCTCTATGTGGTGGCTCCTTCTGGATGTAAATTGATTTTAATGATTTCTTTCTTTCTCCCGGGCAGGATTTATGTGGACATCATTCATGTGACACCCTGGGAATGGCAGACGTTGGGACCATATGTTCTCCAGAGCGCAGCTGTGCTGTGATTGAAGACGATGGCCTCCACGCAGCTTTCACTGTGGCTCACGAAATCGGTATGTAGCGCCTTTTCTTTTCCCTCACCAAATCAAACACTTGTAACAGCTGCAACAGGAACCAAAATACTTGGCAATTAATTCCAGATTTCTCCTGGTTCAGATGTACCATTGGGGATTAAATTTGTTTATATTTGCACTTTTAAGGTTAGCTAATATGAGCAAGAGAGAAGGCAAAGTCAGCAACACAGTAGATGTTTTCTTCTGACAGTGTCATTTAAAAGTTCAAGAGAAATTTACTACTGCTACTGCCTTCTTACTATCTTTTTAAGCATCCCTAAATGACCCCTGGATGAAATTTGTCACAGGCAACTTTGGTATGCAGAGATGTCCTTCTTAGAAGTTACTGGAGACAGTATTGATTCATCCAGGGCTAATCAGTTTGCACAGAAATTTCATGTGTTTTATTTCATTGTCAGTGGTAATTGCAGGCTCCTGTCAAAGTTCATCAATGGCTTATGGTAAATATTTCTTTCTGGTTCTTAATAGCAAGGAAAGGAAACCAAGCATGACACTCAACAGGGTTTGCTTTAAAATGTCACTTACCTAATTTGTTTGCTATAAGAAACACATCTAAATCCTACATCTATAAATACAGGACTGAGTTGATTGCTAAAAAGTATTCCCAAAATAAAGAATATGTGCTTCCTAATTATTGACCTAGGTTACTAAGTGTATGAGAAATTGGCTTAGTACATTTAGGACTAGATGTTGGAATTAGACACAATTTTTTGTGTCTAATTTTTTTTCTGTCTAATTCCAACATCTAGTCCTAAATGAGCTCAATTTTTGCTAAATTACTTTCTACCTGTGTCACACTGGTCTAATTACTTAAGCTCTCTGAGCTCCAGTTTTCATATCTGAAACATAGGGATGATAGTGTCTATTTCAAGGAGTTGTTTTGGAGAGTAAATTGGGTAGAGTTTAGATAGTAAATGTTGTTTATATTCACATATACTTATGTTTTGCTTTTTAGCTAAATAGTTCATTTGCTTTGTAAATGTGTGTATCAACTCAGCATCACCTTTTTGGGAGCAAAGCATGATTTGATAATGATTGTGCCTTTTGCCATCTATAGCAAAAAATATTTTGATTTAAACAGATTTTGATTTTTAAGGTTAAAATTATAACTTTTAAATGGGAATTAAAACTACTTTCTTACATTCCTAATAGGCAGAGAGTATTTTCACAAAGCATCCATTTCTAACTGCTATGTTTTCTTTGGGGAGTTAAATAACTTCTAATCCAAGGTACTTTGTAACTGCATAATTCACAATATTGCCCCAGTAAAACAGAATTCAGTAGTTAAACGTCAATTCTTAAGTATGGCGTTAATGTTCCTGACACATTTCTTACCTCCTTAAGCAGAAAAACACAAACATAAAACCTAAACATAAATAACTATCCAATAGCATCACTGAGAATAATTCCGTGTTTTATTGATTAAGCATCTTTGGCTTCAGTAGTCAAAGATCTGAGTGGAGTCCCAGCTCTGTCTATGGGTTCTCTGTTTTATCTCAGACAAGTGATTTAGATACTTTGAGTCTCCATTTCTTCCCTATAAGGTGGGCTAATGAGGAGGCATGGCTCTCTTCTCAGCTGCACTAGAAGAACTGGTCAGCCTGAAAGCATCCTTATAACACATCCCATTTAGGCTCCAGGGCAGAGATTATGTCTCTCATTTATGCCTATTAATCCTTACTGATAAAAACAGAGCCTAATACGGAACCTTAATCAATATTTATTACATATCTATGTATGTGCTTGAGTGAGTAAGCGGGAGAAAGAAACATGAAACTTGCTCAAGGCAACATTCCGATCTGCAGCGGAAACTAAGAGGAATTAGTCCAAATACTCAGGAGGATGTAATTAAATAGAGGAGACCTTTAAAGTACACTAGTAATTAATCACCATCATTCAGAGTGAGAGGAGTCCCATAAGAAAGGTTCTAAATCCCTGGAAAGGCAGAAGCTGATTCGTCACAGGTCAAGTGGCGAAATTATGGGGAATAAGCAGCAGAGTTGAATGTTGGCATCATCCATCCACAGGATTATGGGCTCCAAATCCTGATCTTCAAAAGGAAAGATTCCACATTCTTTAAAGGAAGGGCAGTTTCTTTCCTTTCTAGTGATTGGTTTTCACACATTGACTGCATCTGGGAGATTTCCCTGTAAGACAAACACTGTGGCAATAAATGCAGCTTCTTCAGAGCTGCTTTGACCTCAAGTTAACTAGGGTGGAAGGAAGAGCCGTGCAGGGTCACCTTTCCCAGCTTGCCTGAATTCCTAAGCCAATCTTGGGTTACAGGGCTGATGCAGCAGTCTGAGAGGCAGGAAGCCAGAAGCTGATAAGAGCAAACGTTATATTAAAACTAAATATATACATGTGTGTGTACACACAGTAAGAATTTTTCTCAATAGTACAAGAATATTAGACATAGTTATACAAGGAAACAATGTAGAAGAAAGGTGGACTTCTATATGAAAACTCAAACCTAAATATTTGATATATGATTGTGCCATTGCATCCACTAAAATTTTTGGTTGGATCATCTTTGTTTATTTCTTTGGAAGTCCCTGTAATTCATTGTCCAATCAAACACTCTCTACTTAACTTCCCTTTTGTATTACATATGGGCTAATCTGAGCTATTTAAGATCTGGAAGTGGGGGAATATGGATTCAATTCTGCTTTCATAAAAGAATCTGGCTTTCATTCAGTTTATTTTCTAATCTCCTTATTATTCTTTAATTTCACTTTTTGCCTAAATATTATGAACATGTGTTATAAAAAACAAGCCTTCAACATTTAGGAAACATAGCCTGACAAAAGATTTCCTGATCATCTGTGTATTATTACAGAGTCTTGCCCCTCCAGCCAGTGTGATCTTGGATAATGCAGCTTGCTGCTTTGTTTCCCATTGCTGTATTTTTTGGATTGCTGTGTGAAGCTCTCAGTCTGAGCTAACCATGCTCTCAATTTTAATTCTCCTCAATTCCTGCAGTCTTCCCTCTTCCTATTTGTTTGTTTTTGTTTATGAGATGGAGTGTCACTCTTGTTGCCCGGGCTGGAGTGCAACAGCACAGTCTCAGCTCACTGCAATCTCCATCTTCCAGGTTCAAGAGATTCTCCTGCATCAGCCTCCCAAGCAGCTGGGATTACAGGCACCCGCCACCGCACCTGGCTAATTTTTGTATTTTTAGTAGAGATGTGGTTTCACCATCCCCCTTCCTTTTTACTAGACATTTGTGCCTTTCTAGATTCGGAAGTTGTGTATATGGTTAAAGTATGGTGATGAAAATGAAATTTTGAATGCTCAGTTTTCCAGCGTTTTAAATTTGCTCTAGCCTCATTCCAAAATGTGTAATTTCCTTTATGCAAACAGTGTGAATGTGTTACTGTGCTCAAAACACAAGCAAGGAGAAGATTCCCAGGCAGTTCCCATAATTTTTCTACTTCATTTCTTCTATAAGCAGTAAAAGGATATATTTGAGCAAGAATTACACTTTCATTAATCTATATACAGGTTTTCATGGAAGTGCACAACTGTTTCCTCTTTCTCTTCATAGTGGTTTAAAATAGAAAGTCATATCTATTTTGTGCATGAATAAACTGAATCAAAATTTTCTTTTTAGTTTATGAACAGCCTGGGCAACATAGGGAGACCCTGTCTCTATTTAAAAAAAAAAAAAAAAAAGCTGGGCATGGTGGTGCATGCCTGTAGTCCCAGCTACTCAGAAGGCTGAGGTGGGAGGATTGCTTGAGCCCAGGAGATAGAGGATAAAATGAGCTATGATTACACCACTGCACTCCAGCCTGGGTGACAGAGTGAGCCCCCCACCTAAAAAAAAACTTATCTTGATAATTAACACATAAGGTAAGTAGAGGCGGAGCTGAAGTTTCTATCTGACACCATTTCTATCCAAGGCATTAGATTACTTGAAGTCAAAATGGCACAGGTTAAAAATGAACAATTATGAAAAGTTACTCTTTTCATATACCATTTGATAACTAGAACACTTCTTTTTTTTCTGCTAATTCTTTCAGAAAAGCTGCTAGATTTTGAAGGTAACTAATCAACTGATGCCAATACAGACTTCTGGAACATGGATATTGATTGACATTGACTCTGGATAGGCAGTCATAAAGTGCTTTCCTTCTTGTGTTATATGCATGTAAATGTTGGCTAAATTGCAAACTATCAAAAACACAGTCTCCATCCATGTTCCTTGAGTGGAGGCAGGAATGTGTTTGCAGCCACTTTACAGTCCAAATGTGAACTGCAGAAAGTTTTCAAGTTAATGTAAGTTTACATTTGGAGTTTATATTTTAACTTGTCAAACTTTTATTATTGACTTGTAATAATAAAGATTTCACCTGCTGCACACATGGTTCTTAAAAACAATAATTTTATTGATGTTGGGCCAACTTCTAATATGCTAGGAGGAATAATCTGATTTTATTTAGACTAATGAAATCCATAATTTGCAAACATGCCGAAGCTTTGCTTTATAGTAGTTAATTATAAAATGCACTGAGTGAATCTCTCCACTGTGAAAGACTCCGGTGTGCTTCCTAAGCTAAACTCAGGCAACTTAAAAAGTTAAGACCAAATATTCAGCTGTGACTTAGGAAGTGGTTGAGACGCAACAGCAAAGCCGCCTGTGTTTTGGTGTGGTTCAAAGGTGTTCCCTGGTTGTGCTGATCTGTGTGTGACTCTGCTTCTGTAGATGATGAGATTAAACACGGCCATATTTTGAAAAGCTGCAGAGGTTCTTGAAACACCACAGACCAAATCCAAATACACAGACTCAGATGTCCAGGCTGGCTGTAAGATGTGAAGTGAGAAGGAAACTAGGATTAAACTTGGCATTTGCCCACACACCCATTGCTTTAATCAACAAGCAGTTTGGAGCAAAGCCACACTATGTCTTTCTTGGCCCCCAAATAAAATGTGGGAATAAGTTTTTGCTATATGTTGAGCAATATTGAGATATTTTG